AATAGTCTGTGATCTGATGTATACTTTTTTGGTCTGACTCTCAGATCATGTAATTGACTCTAAGTACCTGTACCCGAGGATACATTGAATGCACAGCTCCTCTAGTTAATCACACTAACTTGAATTATTATTTTTTTCACACCGCTGTGCTGTTTGAACCCGACTAGGATTGTATGCCAATACTCTTTTTTTCCCCCCGTGCCTTAAAAGGCTTTAGTCTATTTCTTGAAATCAGGGCCAAAGCAATCTTCACCTGTTAAATTATGCATGAAAGCAACTCTAGTTGACATGTAAATCTAACATATCACCCATTAGTAAATAAACAAGCAAACACATTCCATCTGTGTTGGTTTGCAAGCAGTAGGCCAGCAACGAAAAATAATATAAACAAACAAAAAAACCCAAATAACAAATAAGTTAATAAAAAAAAGCAAATTATTTATAACTTAAAAAACCTGATCAGCAGACTCAACACCAAAATAAACACGTCCTTATAACGATTTCTGGAAATAGGATCAGTTTATCAACTCTGTGCTGTGGTCGATATTTTGGAGGTAAAATAACAAGAGCACATGTTTCACACTAGCCTAGAATTAGTCCTTAAAAAGATGACGAGGCAATGCTCTTCTATAGTCTAATTATATAACATTTCGTTTTGTCAGCATGAATAATAATATTTAAAATAATCTTGAAATGTGTTAGCTTTACACTCATAACCTGCATTTTCTCCAGGTGATGTTGGTGGTTTGATCATTAAATGAGGAACAGTCAGCTTGGATGGGATGTTTGTTTGAATGATGACCCCATGTGTGGATTAATATGAAGAGTTTTACATGGAAACAAGCTGAATGTTACCTCACCAAGATCTTTGCAAATGAAACAACCCTCTGTAACATCTTAGTTTTCTCATTTTGAGGATGCAATAATGAAAGAAAATAAGAACAGAATAAAAACTAAAAATAAAAAGAGGAGCTTTACCGAGGCTTCGCTCACCTGCGAGCCTGAGTGCACTCATGCGCTGGAACTCAGGCTCCTGCAGCCACTTCCACATGCGACGGAAGGTCTCTCTGCCGGACTTGAGCTTTGACCAGGGTTTGGGGTTCCTCAGCAAGTCGGACAGGGTCCCCTGAGACCTGCACAGGACCCGCTGAGCAAAGATGGCTTGAGGGATGCTGTAACGCTTCAGCTCCGTGGTGATCCTCTGCGCTACTTCTTTGGTATTCACCTCCTCCATCTGGCCGCCAGAAACACCACCACCACCTCCTCCACCCCCAGCGCCGCCCCCTTGGTGCCCAGGCCCGGAGGCCTGCTCCCGGCTGTTACCCAGCCCCTGGCCGTGGCCCTGCGCGCTAAGGTGGGCGTGCGGGTGGTGATGCAGGCCGTTGATTTGCACCATGCCTGCGGAGGAGCTCATGTGCTGCTCGGCGTGTCTGCTGAGCATGGCCGGATGGTGAGCCTCGAACCCATTAGGTGTGAGCATCTTCTCCCCGGGCATGGCAGCGCCTGGATGTGCGTAGGGAGGGATGCCGGCTTGGGACGTGTGTATGCTGGCCAGCCCGGAGCCAGAGAGCGGGGAGAGGCTCTGGCCCATGCAGGGATCTTTGTGATGATACGCAGGATACAGACTGTTCATAGGCGCCAAACTCCGGTCCTCTCGCATCAACGTGAAGCTGCCGCTGACATTCCCGGGGATCCTCTGGTGGGGATGTGTATGCGGATGGTGGGGATGGTGGTGGTGGTGATGGGGAGGAAATTTGTCAGACACGGTGGAGATGGGGGGTAACGGTTGTAGAGGGGTCAGGGTGGTGTAGGTGGTGCTCGCGCTCATGCCGTGGGGGGCTTCGCACATGCTGATGGCTGGATGCAGGTGTCCCGGGTGGCCTGGGTGATAGTCTCCGCTGTCCAGGAGGGTCGCCATGCCCATGGCGCGGTGGCTCAAGCCCCGCGGGCTCGGACGGGAGTGCGGACTGTGGCCGCTCAGCAGCTCTCCATGCCCGGCGACAGACTCATGGCTCACTCCATGCAGGTCGCCTATATTTTCCATCGACAGCTGCGCGTTCATGATCCGGGCAGCGCTGTGGACAAACCATCTATCTGACCTACTGCTCTTAGCTGATGTCCAGAAATCCACACGTCCAATAAAGTTCAATTTTCTTTTGTTGCTGTTTGTGTCCTCCTCGCATCAGCCTCGTCTGCTATCACCTCTTCTGTGTAACAATATTGGATTAATCTCCTACCTTTTTTTTTGGAGACGCTTTTTTTTCCACCTAGGAATGAAACTTCTCTTTAAAATCCGTTCTTTTTCTTCTTATCTGTTTTTTTTTTCTTTTAAAAACCATAGATTTGCTTCTCTTTGTATTTCAAGCCCCCCCGTCGCCAACCAGCTGTCCCTGCGCTCCGGTCGGGTGCCGCGCCATCTCTTTAGCGGTGTGTGTCCAGTCTCTGCTCCACCGCAGCACAGATCTCACCGTCTGCACATGCGCAATGTGCGCATTGGTCTCCTCCCATGCTCTTTCTCTCTCTACCCCCTCTATCTCTCTCGCACAAAAACACACACACTTCCTCATTGCTTTGACGTTGCTTTCCTTATTAAGGAAGGGAAGAATCAAATATTGTGCATGAATGGCAAATCCTTTTAACATTTAATAGACTCATGGGAAGGATTTTTGGAAGATCTCCTTTAATAAAATGTTCCTAGCCATAAGAATGACATTCAGATATTCCTGGGACGACGCACTAAAGAATCCACCTTAGTTCTGCAGCTCATTAAAAGGATACTGTATCTGTTGGACTGATCAAAATATGAATGATGGACATACCTCTTGCAGGTTAACATATGATTATTCAAAGTTCTATAATATTACAATGAGATTTATTCCTACACTGCAAAAATCTTGAAAGTAGAACAAAAATCTTAAATTAAGGGTATTTACCCTTAATTTCAGCAGGTAAATAAGATAATTTGCCAATGGGATGAGCATTTTTACTTATAAAATCATATAGTTAGATAATATGCATTTGAAATAAGACAAGGCAGTTGTTTTTTCTTATTTTAAATGTAAATTGTCTTATTCTAACAGCAAAGTGTCTCACTTTCCTCCTCAATTCAAGAACAAATGCACTTATTTTAAGTAAAAATGATTCATTTAGATTTTATTTTTTGCAGTGAAGTAATAATTTATCCAACATTAGAAATAATGATTGTATTGATTCTATGTCAGATCTACAAAAAAAAATATATATCTTATTCTCAAACCCCATTTCAGCAATCTGAGACATTACTCTTGGTGGACAGTGGACAGCTCTTCAGTCCACCACAGGACAAAACAGAGACATACATGCCAAAAATCTCACACACACCAAACTCACAAAGAACAGTCAACTCAAAATGATTTTTTGGGGGGACTGTAGTAGGAAGTAAGGGTACCCAGAGAATGCACACAAACACAGAGAGAACCTGCAAACTCCAGACAGAAAGAACTTGCAGGGGCATAAACTCAGGCCTCAGCGCTCAAAACTGCTAAAATGGGACACTTTTTATTGATCTGGATATCTACTGGTAATAATGGGGACACTTAAACAGTATCTGAAATAAGAGTTGATCTGAATTCTTTTTTATTTGTTGTCAATATCCATTCTGCATAAAACACTGTATCTGTTGAAGCCTGCAGTGGCAAAAACCCTGTGACAGCCTGGCATTCTGTGCAGGGTGTACTCCACCTCTCTGCCAATGACACCCTGCCAAGATACAGACAGTGACTGCATGGATACAGCTACGAACAAAATATGCACAATTAATACAAAATGTGCCTTGCTTTGTTTGAGAGCAATGATAAATTCATCTTTATTGTTGACTGCAGATAAAAATGTTCAGTTTTAAAACCTTAATGGGTATCCGTCATGGTTTAAACCTGAGGTGTAAGTGCTAAAATGGAATATTTCAACCTTTTGATTAGCCTAAACTGTATTACCTCATTTATGGTTCAAAATATAAAATCTTTACACTTTTAACTCATGACTGGATACATAAATAGATGTCCTTTTAAATGAAATTTGGACTTTTTGACTCGTTTTGCGTATTTGTGAAAGAAAAAATCAATAAAAAAAACAAGAGAGGGAAACTCTTTTCGTTTCTTTTTTTTTCTTCTTAACTTTAAGTAAACTTTTACATAAAAATAAATCCTCCATCATGTTGTCTCCTGAGCTGAATTCAGTACACTCTCCCAGTAATCAAATATGGGCAAGATTTTTGATTATATCTTAAAATTAGGAGGCCATTCTTCTTTTTTCTTTTTACTGCAGGGCTCTGTTATGTAAACATAAACTGTGCTAATTGAGTGGAGGTGTCTACTTTTTAATTTTCAGGTGTTATTCCAAAAAGCCAAGCATTATGTCCATAAGAGTGCATAAAACGTCAGTCCTCCTTAAATCATTAACCGCGCATAGAGCAAACTTCCGGGGTCATTTGGAGTTGATTGTTAACTAGTTCAGCCCTAAATAATAAAGAATTACAATCGAATGAGCTATGCTTAAAATTTCCCTTCCAGAGGCTTCATATCAAAAGGTTGATAAGCAGGAGGAGGCGCGGCCATGCAGCCAACTTTTATGTGTGAATACATGTGCGTCCATTCTTTCATCAGAGGCGAAGTTCAGCTGGAACACCCCCACCTACCCACCCACACCCACACCCACGCACCAATGCCAAATATATGTGGCGGTTTAACCAAACAGAGAAGACCGTGGTACCTTCTCTTTTGATACAAAAAGATGAGCAGATGTGTCTATTGTTCAACCATTAGGCTTAACGAACCAAGCTCAGCATGATGGGTGCGCATGAGTGTGTGTCCAATTTGGAAGCCCAGTGCATTTAATCCGCTGTGTTTGAGGGAATCATTTGCTCTCTATAAGCATCCAGTTCTTATAGACATTCAAATCAAATTTATTTAATTAATACATTTTTAATAACAATTAATCCTGCAGGATTCAAATCCACGCTCATAAAGACATTCCCGCCTATTTGTTGTTTTTTTTTTAAAGGACGGAAATGACATGCTTACTGATACACGCATGTCAAAGTTTTCCAGTCATGATAAGAGCCCGGCCCCTGCCTATAGCTGCATGTCAGGGGCCTCGTTTAGCCTGATAGAGCGGTAGAGCGCAGGGCGTCCTCAGCCGAGGTGACAGCTTGCAGCGGGTCAGTGTCCTTCTGGACCCCCTGCTGAATGAGGGACATGTCAAAGGTGACGCTTCAAGACTCCCAAAGCCAACATCTGCGGGGGGACAGATTAACCTTTCAGACTTTTCCCTGTTTTAGGACCTGCTAGGGGCCCCACATCTGTCGGCCCCACCCCCGCAAAATAGACACTCGGTTGAACGACTTAAATAAAAGAAAATACAAAGAAAGAAAGAAAAGAGAAACAGGGAGAGAGAGAGAGAAGTTAAACTGTCTCTGATGTAAAGTCAATGTCAACGGCGTGTGTGTGACGTGTGTCGAGACAAAGGGACACTAATGCGTCCAAGTGTGACCACCCAAGCGTGCAGAACAAGGGGACATAATGGAGTTTAGAGGCAGGTCTCAACAGGACAACAAAAACACAGCGGGTGTAATTATCTTAACACACCTCCCTTCTTCCCAATCAAAGCAACAACAATTTCTATTTCTAACAACGCGCTAATTGAAAAACATTTGCTTTGTGTTTTCATCAAACTTTTAGAGCAGGGGAGCTTTTGGAAAGTTTAAAAAGGGGTGCTGATTATCTCTTTTGGCTGGCGCACTCAACAGAAACCCAATAGTATGAGTTATATGTAAATAATAAAGTTTTTTGTTTGTTTTAAATGGGGGTGGTGTGAAAATGAGATACATGAAAAAAAAAAAAACAAAAAAACAGAATAAATGCTTAAATGTTGTGATCCTACTGCCTGCTTAAAAAAATATGACAAAAATAAGCTTAAAAGAAAAAGGAATTAATAGAAGCACATGTGGGGATATGTGTGTGTTTGTGAGATAATCATATAAATCATATCAATAAAAAAACAAGTAAAAAGATAACTTAAGTTTTTCTCCTTTCTTTACAGTTAAAGCAATAAGTTTTTTTTTTTAATTAAAATTGCTAATAGAATTAATGTGACAGATATGCCCTCATTGAATACACTTTCCTAAAAGATCAGAGCAGTTTTTTTGTCCTCCATCCCTCCTGTATCAACCAACGCGGCCCGAGTAAAGTGTGGGACAAGGTGCAGGAGATGGAAAAGGCTAAGCTTTGGCCTCTTGGCAACAAACCTCATCTACACATTCTTATTTGGATCGATCGGCTGCTGCCACGTCTGCTCGGCCTGCAGCTCGTGTTTTGTGTGTGTTGCGCTTCCATTGTGCCTTTACGACATTTGATTTACGCAAAATATAAGGAACAGTTTCTAAAAGCACATCTGAAAAAAGGACGCTTTTTGTCTAAATTAGTGGAAAAATAATACAAAAGCAGTAGCCAACAGGTAGACAGTATCCTATTATGTGCAAATCCATACACAAGGTGCATAAACAAGCTTTGGTTTGTGGATTTATCTATTTATTTTTTATCCAAAAAGGTGTTAACGCACGAGAACATGAGGCACAGTGATAATTACTTACAGATTTTTAAACTGATGATTAATCATAGGCGCCTCTCTGATGAAGCCCGCAGCTTCATATCCGAGCAAGAAGCAATAATGCCTCCCAGAAAGGAAGGAGCGTGGATCAATATTTCAGCAGCTCTGCCTTGTATGCTCAAAATGACAATTACATCTCATCTAAGCAGCAGTTTGCGCTAAATGGCAGCTGATGAACTTTTATAAATGAGCCCACTTGAGTTTGAAAACGGAGGAAAATAAGGGCGCATACACAGGGAAAGTGAATTAACCTTTACTGAACACATCGCATTGCTCCAATGTTTTTTTTTTATTTGTTTATTTTTTTTTACCTGTAATTTAATTCAACGGATCCGCATTTTTATTCCAAAAATATAAGATTGTACTTTTGACCACAAGTTAAGTAGAAACCTCTAAAATATATTTACACAATTAAAAAGACTAAGAGGAAAAATATTAAATCAAAATATAAAAAAAATAAACATTTGAGATGGTTTTTTTCGATTCTTGAAATATGTGAATTGAAGCTTTGACGGCTGCCCTTTATGAGCTATATTTGAAATGTAAGGTATAGGCCTCAGAAACACAGCAACGCACCAATCAATACTGAATACAATTATCATTCCTGGAGGGGGTTCAGGCAAAGGCTCCACAATTTGTTCTAATAAACAGCCTTAAAATATCAATTGAAAAATATACTTTAATAATAATAATAATAAAAATTAAATACCATTTTATACAAAGAGGATTTATTTATTACAAGGAATAAAAGTCTAGATAAAAATCCACGAACAAATGAACATATAATAAAAAAAATAAAAAAATAAAATCGATTAAACGAGAGGACAGAACACATGAACGAATAGAGATAATCTTTTAATACCCAATAACACCTTTAATCCTCTAAATTTATCTCCTTTTTTTTATAGGACTTTATGGTCAAAGAAATTGTTCCCTGAAATATTGAGGCTACAGTAACAAATATCGGCCTCAAAGTGGGTTTAAGTTTCCTTATTAATTAAGGAATTTGCTTTTTATTTCCTCTTTCCTTAATTAGTAAAAATGCCATCATGGGTAAACACCTGCTGCCTTGCTCAGGGGTAACTCAACTGCCTTTTCTCTTGCGTTATTCCGCGTCACTTGTTCTGATTTACGCGCTCATGTGAAATTAATAAGGCATCACTTTACACTAAAAGGCGTCCATATGCCGCCCAATTACTCCGTGTAACTTCTGTCAGACTCCAATTATGACAACTAAACTCTGTCAGCGATAGCCAACAGGCCCCACATGGGCGCATCGAGTCCAAACGCAAACAGAC